CATATAAGTCTTTCTATCTAGAGATAGAAAGAAACTATAGAAACATATAAGTATAACATCTTTTGCTATAATAAATACTCGGAGCATCGTTTTTGTTTAGTAAATAAGAAAGTCCTTGAGAAGAAACATTAAATACAATGTACCACATTTAGCTTAAGCAATACATGTAGAGCTCATATTTTCCATTGTCAAGGAATTCGAGAATGAAAGCTAAGGTAGGCCTTTAGGTCGTTTTATCCATTCTTATAAAAAAATTAAATACGTAAAAGCATTTGTAGGTTAATTTAATATGTAAGAGTATTACATAAATTTGCAATAGAAAATTACTAAATCTTTTTTTGCGATACACAGAAAAAATAGTATTTTCAATACCAGTGCAGCCAGCATATCCATATCCGTTGCCCTACTCAGTGATGGCAAAACGTTGGGAATATGGCGAAAATAAGCGTACAAGCCTACAAGCAATGGGGAAAAAAGGGGAAAAACGGCATTCAGTTTCGTTTGGGGAGAAAATTAGATGATATCGCATAGAATTCCGTGACACAGACACGGGATTTGAATTCAATAAAAAAAGGAAGTTATACAGTAACAATTTTTTATTTATTTACCAGGGCCAGCGATCTTTCTTAATTTACCGTCGATGTATTAAACATACTTAAGCAGTACAAGATTGTGCATGTACAGGGTTCTTCAAATTGGTCGGTTTTCAAGGGTGACTGCGAATCTGTCATAGATAGAGCAAATCTGATCCAAATCGACCCTGTCTATTTGTCTTGGCTGTAGCATGGAGATTATTTTGAGAATAGCGATGATTATTGTTTCTATTAAATATGCCACAGCTACTTAAATGTATAAGACTCATCTGTCCAAATGATATTTTCTGTAATATTTTTGATTTGTGCTAACACGCTTCTAATAATGTTAAACATCAAACTTGTATCTCAAAAAAGTGCATGTAGAATGGTCAAATCGTTTTAAAATATCTTAAAAGGACAACAAGAAAAGGGCACCAGTCGATTTAATCAAAAATCGAGAAATGCGCTGTAACTCGAAAACGGTAACAGACAGGTTTGCGCCATTATTATTTTCTCCAAAAAAGAGCTCATCTATCAGATTTGCTCTATCTATGATAGATTCTCAGAAACCCTTGAAAATCATCCGATACATGAAAATGATTTTTTTTGCAGTTGAGATGAAAAACGTTTTTGGAAATAAATACTGGTGTGTTTTAAGTTATTTTTATTAAAAGTAATGATTTTCTCACGACTTGATTGACACGATGCAGATATTTTTATCTTTTAAACCAAATTTGCTATTTTTGTATAGAAACGGAAAATATGTCGAATTTATCATTTTCTTAATTAAGGCACTAAATTGACAAAATTAACGAGGCTTCTTATGAAATAAGTTCATTTCAGTGGAACACTTGTTTGTACAAACCTTAAAATACTTAAAGAAAAATTAAAATAAAATATGGATTAACATTCATAGAATGCTATGGAAGCAACTAAAATAGTAATTTGTAATTTGCAAAATATGCTAATTCTGAAATAAACAATTTTATAGGAATAAGTTTCCATTATCTAAAATTGCACGTACTTTTTATAAGCTCTAGTAGTTTCTTCTATTTTATACATCAAATTAATTTATATTTTAAAATTTCTCATGCAGAAATGTATTATTTATTCTGTAAGACTCATTGTATAAAATATTAGAAACGCCCCATCAATTTAAATATTTAAAGAATAATTTAATATTTTTAGTTCAGTAAATATAGCGTTGGACGCCACTTCTTGTTTCGGAAAGCTGAATTTGTCACTATAGATGCTAAATATTATGTACAATAACACATTAGTTTCCACAGTCATAAAAATGGGGGAAGATTGTTTACAGGGTGGTTAATTGTATAATTTTTACGTAAATTCACGTTTTTCGCTTATAACTTTTTTCCGTTCATTTTGACGAAAAAAACGGTAAAGTAGTTTTCTTCGTCTTCAAAAGACCCACAAAACTAGCCCTCGAGCGGTAAAAAATATTGATTAGAACAAAAGTTATAAACAGAAGTAGTTTATTTATGACTTTTGAATTAAACATGTATAAACTGCGTTTTTATTACCAGAACGTTTTGGCATCGCATCCTCTCATTCCTTATCACTGTCTAATAACTCACACGAAATTTGGAATCGGTAAGTTGAATAGTTTATATGTTATGGCCTTATAAACAAATTAACTAATTATTAGTGTGGACGATCCCGAGGATCTTCCACAATCGCACTGATTTTACTGATGGTAGATTTCTTAACAATACATTGAAATCTATCATTTTGTTTTTTAATTTGCAACCTGGAATTTTTTTTTATTTTTTAGCCTTAGTTGCAAAATGAAATATACGACGCACGAGCGTGGTATAGTTATATATTATTACATATTCGGAAAGCTTATGAAAAGAGCTTTAAGTTAAAAAAAATCGTCAAGATTCGTTGAAAAACAACGGAGTTACAGACTGTCAAATATATTATTTTCAAGCGAATTTCCCTTATTTAACGGCAGGACTATGAATATTATCGTCATTTTCTTCGGACGCGCTGTCGTTCGCTTCCCCCACCCTCCCGCTGCGCCACGCTCCCGAAAATCATGCGACCCACTGACTTTTGACAATATTTCTTATACACTTAACATACTTCCACTAATAAAATATTTTTACCTGGGAAAGTACTCGGGTTGCCGGTTATGACAGTATTTTTTCTGTCGCTACCAACCTAATTTGTTTAACAATCGGCCGTCAACTTTGACAGTCTGTAACTTCGTTGTTTTTCAACGAATCTTAACGATATTTTTTTAACTTAAAGCTCTTTTCATAAGCTTTCTGAATATGTAATAATATACAAGGGGATTCACGACTTATCCAAAAAAATTGGGAATAGGTGCGGCATGAGAAATGGAGTCAATATCGCAAAAAAAGATTCAAAGATAGTAGATTCAACCACTACATAGCTGGAACACTGTAGTCTCTAGCGTCATTCGCAATGCGCGTAGAGAGCCACGTGGCCTCAGCGACTCTGAATACTGAAATCGTATTTTGCAATCGTCGTTGCGATAGTATTTACCTGTTATCTGTAGTGTTTACAATAGTTTTTTAGTAGTAAGTGTCAAAAGTGGGTAGTTAGTGTCAAAAATGGTTTGCGTGTATAGCAACTCGGAGTTGATGGTTGATGGATATCGTTTTAATTTATGGTGAAGCATTTGTGTTATGGTGAAGCAAGACAACATTTGTGTTAGTTCATAGAAACTGAGTAAGACGGACCCAAATGTGTTTACACGTTGGCGGATAAAATTTTAAACAATTGTTGTAACTTCGGGTATGTCAAATGATTTTATTATTTAAAAACACAAATTAATTTTATTAATTAATAAAGGCAAAAGCAGTTTAATTTGCCGATATAAAATAGGTACGATGAAATTCTATTTACATATTTCTTTCCTTGCCAAAGTTTTTGTCCGTTTTTATCACACCGCCATGCCGGTCGCATTATGCGAGGTCAGGTGTTACAGTGGACCAGTTTTCAGTGCCGTGCAAAATTGTATTTGTGAAGGTCCCCTGTACATACAGATTTTTTTTTTTTTGAATAAGTTCTGAATCACCCTGTATAACTATATCACGCTCGTGGGTCGTATATTTCATTTTCCAACTAAGGTTAAAAAATAAAAAATATTTCCAGGTTGCAAATTTGAAAAAAATGATAGATTCAATGTAATATTATGAAATCTACCATGAAAAAAATCAGTGCGATTGTGGAAGATCCTCGGGATCGTCCAGACTAATAATTAGTTAATTTGTTTATAAGGCCATAACTTGTAAACTATTCAACTTACCGATTCCAGATTTCCTGTGAGTTATTAGACAGTGATAAGGAATGAGAGAATGCGATGCCAAAACGTTCTGGTAATAAAAACGCAATTTATAAATGTTTAATTCAAAAGTCATAAATAAACTTCTTCTGTTTATAACTTTTGATCTAATCAATATTTTTCGACGCTCGAGGGCTAGTTTTGTAGGTCTTTTGAAAACAAAAAAAAGTACGTTACTGTTTTCTCGTGGAAAAGAACGGAAAAAAGTTATAAAAACGTGAATTTACGTAAAAATTATACAATTAACCACCCTGTAAACAATCTTCCCCCATTTTTATGACTGTGGAAACTAATATGTTATTGTACATAACATTTAGCATCTATAGTGATAAATCGAATGCCGAACATAAAGTCGCCTAATGGTAATTTCTCAGCTTATTTTCCTGGCCTATTTATTAAAAAGAAAGTAACCTGAAGGGAAAAAGTAAGAAATTTTATTATTCCTCTAGGAAAATCCTTCAAAAACTATTGGCATCACTGCCCCCCTAACACATGTAGTTCTAAAATTGAAACCAACCAATAACAATCAATCAATGTGTGTTTAGATATAGCAAAAATTACGCATCTGCCTGTCGCTATTTCCTACCCTACCCCCGGCGCAGCCGCCACGTCTTGTAACCCCGATTCCTCCGCCAAACTATACACGCAGCCACCTATGACCGTCCTTTCATCGCCGACTAGACCGACATCGCGGCTCGCGGACACCGAGAGGGCCCTCCGCGGCGCCCCATAAGACCCATTTCAGGGCGTCCCGATGCACCTATGACGCAACACAGCGCCTAGTACCGCCGCTAAACAAACGGTCGCCCGGCAACGGGCCCGCTACGTCACCCGTGACGTCAGCAAGAACCGAGCGACGAGTTATATATCGACAAGCCAGCTTCGGGCAGTCATTGTAAGCGCAGGGCGCGAGAACGCGAGTGCTACAACGCAGTGATCGTACTAGTCCACATCTTTTATATTTTTCTACTTTTATATCTGATAATTGTATAGTTTGGTTATTTTTATTACTTAGAAGTTATATTTTCTCATCGTTTTATACGCTTCTGGTGAGTACCGACGACTTGATGTTAGTTTTAAGCGTTAGGTCGCAGTAGGCGACGATTAGCGTTGCGGAAAATATCACATGCCCGTCAGCTGATTCTGGTAAATTATAAAATAAATCTGGTACGTGCCGGGAGGGGGTAAGTAGGTATCTGGTATGTTGCGAGCTTTTGGGGCGTTACTACCACCACTTGTCCGTGCTAGATTTCTCGCCGTGATCGCCCAAAACTCGTAACCCGGTGGTGGAACAGCGAATATCGCGTAATTTTGGATTACGAGGAGGGTGGTGAGAAGTGCGAGGTGATCCGTGTACAGGGTGATACTGCGAAGGTGACGGAAGATCACGGAAGTGAGGTACCTATCTAGTTTTCAACTGATTCCATACTGAATTTACGAGAACTGCATAAAAACTATTTTTTCGGGCTTCCCAAGCAAAATCTTTAAATAAAAGCAAATATTAGCAGACACAGCTTCAAAATCGTTATTTTCCTGGCACTTTTTTCTAATTTATTCCTCACAATTTTAATTAATAGGTCAAGCACATTTTTGTCCCGAAAAGCCTTTAAATAAAAGCAAAGAAGAGCCTTTAGATACTTTGATTAAAAAATTTAAAACCTAAGTTAAAGTTAATTGCGTTTCAAATCTAAAAACATGTACAAAACGTAATTATAGCTTAACCCTAATATAATTACACTAGAAACTGAACATCAAGAATTATGATTCAGGATAAATAAGTGTCGATGTGACGGAAATAATGAAATATCCTTTTACTCAAATATTTTTTTAAATCATGAATTTAAATGATTAGTATACAAACGGTAAGTCTACAAAGCCCGGAGGAAGTATTGCAAGCTGTTATCTATTATTAACAAAAATCGGAATAAGATTTGTGCTTATGAAACTAGTGAAATTCTCTAGAAATCATAACAGATACGACGCACAGTAGATGTAATTATAGTTCTACTCAAGGGTAATGTTAAAAATGTATAATATGTAGAACACCAGATGCATAAATACGTTTATATTTCCATAGTAGTATACAATGTCCAACGTGTACCATGAATCATGTCACTTTAGCTTATGTAGTATGATTCTTGACGTTAAATTATTATAGAAATACCTCTAAAAATTGGAGTTTCCAACAACAACAAAAAAAATTACAAGCTTGATTCAGTTAAACACAACTTTTTAACATTTTATACAACGCCTCATTTACGTTCATTGTTTATTTTGTAATTAAATATTAGCTGACGACTCTTCATAAAACTGGGCCTAAAACACAAGGAAATTATTACATGAATCGTTTTCTTAGTGTACCGATTAGTACAACTAAAAAAAAATCTAGCGAACTATTTCCATTTAAATCAGTATTTAAATCATTAATAGACGTATAATATTTGTGACCCAAAAACTCTACTTTTCCGATCATCAACGTCTTTTCAAATATTTACATTATTAACACAACTAATCGAAGTGTATCGTATAGATATGTCACGAATTCCGTGTTACACGTGTAACTGTTTTAAACACATAAATAAATAAATGCGGAGGTGTTTCAAACACTGCAATCGAAAATTATTGGGTATTCATCAAATCAAGGAAAAGAAGCCAATGAATGCCAAAGTTAACTAGATTTAATGCGAATTTTAGGGGTAAAGGAAATAACTTTGCTATATCTACGGAAGTGAATGAAAGTTGGTTTATATTAATAACATTTAACAGTGAAAAAGTAGAAAACAATTTAAATACTTTTTTAATTATTAGATATTTTTATTCTAGATATTTTTTTACTCAAAGTCAAGACAAATTAATAAAATATACCTTTCGCAGTTATCTGCAGATAGACATTTTAATTATTTTATCTTTTTTATCAATGAATGGCTTATGTAGAGCTGACTGACGTCAAAAGGGATCAGCTAATCAAGAAATAATTTCCGTTGTCGGTAGATAGGATCCATGAATCAGTATTTTTTAATAATACCTTCAATATAACATAGCTGGAACAATAATAATGTCTTTGATATAGCAAATTGCACTAATTTTACCTAAAGATCAATAGGACTCTAATTTTGCAATTCTGCAGGCTAGTTTATTAGTAAATTTCTTGAATTACATAAAGATACTCATTTTCAATTTGACTTGCCAGTAAACCGATTTTTATTTTTATTCGACAACCTTTGGTCCTCAAGGTTGTATTTACCCAAGGGATATGAAATATCAAGTTTTTATCACGGACGTCGAAGGTCGAGTTGCAATGCAACTTAAATTTGCGTTTTTATTTTGATGAATTTATAATGGGATGTCATAAAAGTTAGACGTGTTTCGAAATATTGATTGTAAATTTATTCGGTGGCAATTTTTTTAAATTTTTTGTTCTATTATAGTCTCCCACGTGTTGTTAAAAATGTAACAGTTATTTTTAAAACCTTGAGGACGTTCATGTAGAGGTAGTCCACGTTCAGTCGTATAAATATTTGCGTGCTATGCCATTTATTAATGGATTTTATTAGGTGTAACAATGCTAAGCTCAATTTAGTTCATTTTATGACTTAAAAGTCGGTTTAAAAAATAAGCAATTGTTTTATTATTAGGCATGTTCTCATAACATAAGAAACTGATTTTATAAAAATTAAAATACAGACATAAATGTTACAAAAATCATTGAAAAAAAGTCAATAACTAAATAAAATTTTAAATATAAATATTAAATAATAATCAAAATCCCTATATTTATCGAAATTATGACAATATATCTGAAGAACTATGCACACAGCATAAACAATACGATGTTTATTCTTGTCAGCGATAATGTTTATAAATATTTATCATTTTTTATTTTGTTTTCTATACATGGCCCTTTTTAAATTTGGTGTCACTGCATTTTTATCACACCTTTACACCGCTTCCGGTTCATTTTACATATCTATGTGCGCTTCACTTAAAATATGATTAAGCAGATTGCTTGAATAAAATAAAACAGTAATCAGTTTTAACGAATCATTTTAAGATTTGAAAACCTTGCTTTTGCATTCACATAATTCTGTTTACACGAAAGAAATGCGAAAATTTCTCATCCGTATAATTCTCTTTTAATTTTTACGTTGACAATTATGTTTATAACAATTTTTTTATTTCAGCAATTTTATTGGACTTTAATGGGCGATTTTGCAACGTATTTCTTTCAAATCTCATTCGCCGATATAATTACCTATTTTAAAAGTAAGCGAAGCGAAATTACGGAGTTTCAAAAAATGACAGTATTTTAAATTATTATCCAAGTGGGCTGTGACGAAATTTAATCAATTTTATCACACGTACTTTCTCGGAATTCGCCTGGTTTATGTAAAATATTATTTAACAGAACCCGCTGCTGGAACCGGCATCGCCTGCCTTGATGCAAGGATAACTCGATGGCCAGTACGTTTTTTCTTAGTATTTAACAGTAAACAAACTACGTTTAATTTTAATCAGAATAGATACTACGCAATCTAGTCTAAAATCGAACTAAATATTTCTGCGAAAAAAAATATATCTATTTCTGTAGAAAAATAAAAATTATTCGTAGTCTATGCTGACAGAAATCAAAATGACGTCTCACATTTTTTTTAATCCAGTCTATGGCAAATAGACATAAATAATTGCATCTAAACATCTAAATCTAGATGTTTCTTAAGCCTAATTCACAGGCAGTGAAACAGAAGGTTGCATTCTGGTTTAACCTAATAATAATATACCAAAGGAAATAGTTAGTATACAATGTGCCTTCCAAAGTAAACAGGACTTTTCAAAAATATGTATTTCTAGTGAGGCCATCTTTTGGCAAGTACTTGAGTCGGAAAGGTCACATCATCACTGATGTACTATCAAAATTTCATAACATTTGGACGAATACAAGTGGAGTCTGAAGTGATAGTATGTTTGTGTCATTGGTTCAAAAATTAGCTCGAACAAATTAAGTTTTGTTTTAAACTTGGTAAAACTTTTACCAAAACGGTTCAACTGATGAACCAAGTTTATGGTGAATACTTGTTTATGGGTATACATGGTCGTGAGGACATAAATGGTGAGCAACATGTTGGCCAACCGAAAACCATAGATTCCATCAAAACTGTGCGTGAATTCATCAAATATCAACCAAAATCTTCATTGAAATTCATGAAATTGCAATTGAGCATCTCAAAAACATCAACTTATCGCATTTTGGTCGAATATTTGGGCTACCCGAAAAGTGTGTGCATGGTTTGTTCCGCACAAGTTGACTGACGACCAAAAATTGCTCAGAATTCTACATTCGAAGGACATCATCAAGGAGACCAAAAGGTAACAAAACTTCCCTTACAACATTGTGACTGGCGACGAAACGTGATGTTTTCAATATGATCCAAAACCAAGAGCTAAAGTGTCGAGTGGAAGGCTCCAAACGAGCCAAAACTCAAAAGATAATGTTGATTTTCTTTTACGCTTTTAATGGCGTTGTCCAGAAAGAGTTCATTGCACCAAGCCAAACCATCAATGTACAATTCTATCTTGGCATTTTAAAGCGTTTGGTGCATCATATTGGTCGTATTTATTCAGATAACGATAATGTGCCATCTCTTCGATCGACACTTGGGATCGATTTTTTGACTAAAAATAAAATTCGCATTTCATCTGTCAACCACTCCCCGTATTCGCCTGATTTAGCACCGTGCGACCTTTTCGGAAAAATGCGTTGCCGATGTAGGAAAAGCATTTTGTAGACGTAGAAGCCATCCAAACGACTTGTATCGATCCTGAAGAACATTCCGGCCGACGATCGAAAACACTCATTCGACATACTTTTGAATCGTGCAAATTGCTGTATTGAATGGGTCGAGTTGAGTCGACTATTTCGAATAAAATAAATCGGGCAACATATATTTGGCACTCTTACTTTGTTGGGATATTCAACTCTAATTAATGTACCTCGTAAAACAAAATTGCTTAAAATTAGTCCCAAAAAACGGGTCGTTCGTTTAAATGACTTAATTACGGTGAGCGCTTATTTCTGTGATAAAAAAGAAACATCATCCCACATTTAGGTAGAAAATAATTTAGAAACGGTTGTTTTGCATAAAAAGGTGTATGAAAGAAAAAAAATATATATTTTTAGTTGTAAAGCCCCAGGACTTCCGATTCATGGTATATGCAAACATTGGTGTGTATTTTGTAGACAGTGGTTGCCTCTTTTACCACAAATTATGTCCCGACCTTCCGTATTTTTAAATAGCTGGCGAAATACCTAAAAATATTTACGTGGTGAAATTATATGCATCTCTTTTATTCAGCCAGTTGTTTGCCTCATAACCTCATTTTTAATTAAATGAAACTCGACT